GCCCTTGGATGCCTCCCCCGCCTCCTCCCACGTGGTTGTTTATCTGAGGCTCTCATCACGGAAATAAATAAATGCGCTGCATGCTAATCATGATCATCACAATTTGCATTTATATTGCGCCCCTCGTAGGAGGATCTGAAGTCACTTCCCAGTAATGAACTGCCCCTGCGTGCGCGCGGCGCTGTGTGCGCGCCGACGCACGCGCGGTGTCGCCGCGCCCAGATATTTATTTAATAACTACCGGGCCGAAACTGTGGGGTTTCACGTAACTGCGCTTTAACGGGATGCGGGAAAGTGAGCGGAGGCTTTTCAACTGCTGAACAAAACGTTCATTTGCCGGAGATGCTGGGCTGGGGGGGCGGTCCTAGCGCCGCGAACCATCGAGGTGGCTGCCGGGCGGTGGGAGTGTCCCGGCCGGGAAGGCGGGCCTACAGCGCAGGCGCCGCGTCTCCTGGACAGAAAGCCCACCGCGTGGAGACGCCCAGCGGCCTGTTTGTCCAGCGGGAGATCCCGTTCAGGCCGCCCACGGGTTTCACCCAGGCCCGCCTCTGCGGTGGCAAGCGGGGTCTGGTTCCAACTTTTTACAGTCTGTGGAGTAGAAAGTGACTAGCTTTGCGCTGCCAGGCCGGGTCACTTGCTTTGAAGCTGTCTCAGGACAACGGACCTTGGCGAGTTTCCAGGGCCAGGGGCCTTGCTTTCTGGGCCTCCGCTGACCTCAGCGCAGCCCGCAGAAGCACCACCACCTGTGCTTGCCTCTGGAAAGCGCCGGGGGTCCCCGGGGTGGTGACGGGCTGCTCCCAGGGTTCTCAGCGCGGTTTCCGGGGCCTGGTCCTTCGCATCCCGGCGGGGAGGGAGGAGCTCCGTGCAGAAGGAGCCTGGAGAATCCCAGGACCTCTGGGACCGGGGATGGAGATGGTTTTAATTAGAGCTGAGAGATGGGAAATAAGGCAGAGAGGGATGACGTCTTAATGAGGTTTAATGAAGCTGTCTGCCGATGAGGACAGCTGCCACCCAGAGCTGTGTTCCCGCCAAGCCCTGTGTGACAGGCAGGCTCAGAAAAAAAGGCACAGTTGGAAGGCTGCGGGGGAGGGCGGGCAGGTCGGACCCGAAGCTGGGGCTCCCCTCCACATCCACCTCCTGCTTCTAACACCTCCGTGACCAGGGGCTCGGCCAGTGGGTCCCCTCTGAGCAGCTTCGACATTTCACCATCCCCACCATGCTAAGGTGTGTGCCTCTCAAAAGACCTTGAGGATTTTGCATCCAGTGTCTTAGAATCCAGCCATAAATACGAGGCACGCAAGGAGGGCTTGTATTCGAGGGCTCAAAGGGGTTCACCCGCCTGTTCCGTTTCTGAGCCTCATTTCCCCCTCTGTACGGCGGTGACAACGTGGCTCCTCCTGGAGAGCTGTTGAGGGGTGCTGCGGGGTCAGCACAGGGCGGCGATGTCCAAGAGCTGCCCTGAACCCCAGCTCTTCCCCCGACTCCCCAGGTGGCACTTGGCCAGTGTGAACCTCTTCAAGGTTCAGACGTCCCAGCTGGAAAACGGGACGCCTGCCTCCCGCAGGGGTTGGCAGAGTTCAAGGAGAAGCACAGAGAGGTCTCAGGGCCTAGTGGGCGCGCTCAGTTAGGGGACTTGCTAGCCGAAGTCCCAGGAAGAGATGCTCGGTAGACGTGAAGTGTCACGAGGAGCAGTGCTCCTCGTTTCTTCGCTTCTGCAGTAAAGGGGGGCGTTCTAGGGGGTCCCTTGCAGGGAGGAGTCTCCAGGCCTCGTGTGACCCAACAGCCCACCCGTGCCAGCTGCCCCGGGACCTCTGCGTGTCCCAGCCTGAGGGCTGAGGCCCCTTCTGTTCTGATGAGGCCCCCCACCCTGTTCTGGGCGGGTGGGCAGGCTGCTTGGGAACGTGGGCGGCCGATCAAAGCTGGGCCTTGTGACCACATCTGGTCAGTTTCGTGGAGACCAGGGTGGGGCTGCCACGGAGAGGCAGGCGACCCGCACCATCAGGCCTCGAGTCCCTGGCGTTTTAGTGGCCACCGATCTCAGACGCCTGCCGCAACCAGCTTGCCTCTATCTAGTTCAGGGCCGGCAGCTCCCCCGAGGTGCCCAGAGGACTGCAGACCCTCTGTCCGCCGGGTTTTCTCCGAGGGCTTCTGGAAGGCCTTTCGGGTTGTTTCCAGCACATGGCCATCCCACCCTGGGGTGCTACGAGCGTTCTCAGACACGCCTTTGGGAAGACACGGCCCTCGTTTCGGTGGCGGTCCAAGGGGGGGTGCCATCAGGTCGGCCTGCGTCCAGCTTTAGTCGATGCTGCTCGACCATTTCCCAGAGTGGCCACACCGGCTCAGACCCACCCCCCCCTGCCCCCGCCCCAGTGCATGAGTCTTCCCGTGGCTCCACGCCTGCACGAGGAACGCTGAGTTCTTACTCCGTGTTTCCCGGAGGCTGCACGCTTTAACGCACAGGTCTTGGCTACTGGGACATCCTTCTAATGATGCGCCCATTCAAGTCTTTTGCTCATTTTTCTGTAGGATAATCTGCCCCTTTCTTGTTGATTTATAGCAGCTCTTTCTATATGATGGGTGAGAGCCTCCTGTCCGGTACATGTACTGCAAATATCTCGCTTCAGTCTGTGGACGCACAGGTTTTTAGAGCTGGTGGCGTCCTGTTCAGGCGTCCTCCTTGCAGGAAGGTGAACTCACAAGGGCAGGGGCTCTGCGTCGTCTCCGTCCAGCTTCAAACCCTGGGGACAGGGCGTGGTGCGCAGAATAGGTAGAATATGAAGATGAGGGGAGTGGGAAAAGGAGGGAACTCCCCCCCGCCCGCCCCGGGATGATCTTTGCGGCCTAAGGCTCCATGTGCGCCGGCGGCTGTCGGCTCCCAGGCGCGCAGAGGGCGGGCGAGGCGCCCGCCCCGTCCCCTCCCCTCTGCCCGCCCAGAGAGGCAGCCAGCTCCTCAGTCTGCCTGTCATGCCTCTGCCAGCTGGAAGTGTGCCCACCTGCACCTGCCCTGGGGGGGCTCTCCCAGAGAAGTCACATTTTAATTAACTTCCCCAGCAGTCATCCGAGAGGCCAGATCATTTTCATAAGCAGAGGAGAAGCCAGAGCTTTGTCTGCGGCTCCGAGCGCGCCGAAGGAAGGCGGTGGAACAGAGCGCCCGGCGAGGCTGCGGGCGCCCGCCTGGAACGCGGGACTCCGGGGCTCCCGAGGGAGGTCGGGCCTGGGGTCCGAGGAGGGAAGGAGGCGGGAGAAGACCGACCGACCGGGCTCTGTGGAGGAAGGAATGGGCGGAGCCTCCGAGCGGGCATTGCGCTGATCCATTCACCACCGCCCCCACCGTTGACCAGCGTCTGTTCTCCGCCAGGCCCTGGGCGAGGAGAGGGAGAAAATAAGGACCCACGGCGGGCCGAGGGGGACCCTCCATCTCTTCTGCTCCGTTCTGCTGTGAGCCTAAAACTGCTCGGAAAGAGAAACTCTGTTTGTAAGAACATTTTCAACGAACCTTAAAATAAGTGAGTGGAGACTGAGCCCAGTGTCCGGGGCAGACAGGTCTCTAGCGGGTCGTCACACGGTCACTGGCTGGACTGCGCTGCTCTGTGATTTCAGTGGCTCCGCCGTGACGTGATTCAGACGCCAGCCCAGGCGCTCCCGTGAAGTGCACAGCCCAGTGGACTTTGGGGTGGTCACACATCTGTGCCACCAGCACCACAGGCAATTCTAGGACATTTCCATCACCCCCGAGAGGAGCCCCACTCCCCTTAGCCACCCCGTCCCAGTCGCCCCATTCCCCGCCCCTCCCAGCCACAGGCAACCACTGATCCACCCTCTGCCCCTACGGACTTGCCTGCCTGAGACGTCTCATGGCAATGAAATCATACGACAGGTGGTCCTTTGTGACCAGCTTCTTCCACGAGTACCAGGGCGTCAAGACCCAACCAGGCTGTAGCAGGTACTACTGTGTCATTCTGAAAGCGCCCCAGGGGGGCGTTCAGGGCCCTATGATGTCACATGCAAGGAAGCTTGTTTGGACTGGGGGCAACCTGAGAGGGCTTCCCAGAGGAAGAGGTTTTCACCCCAGGCGTTTATGGAGCACCTGCTGCGTACCATGAGCAAAAGGAAGACAGTAGAAGTCATGGGCTGGGCTATGTAGGAATGCACCCTCCAGGCAGGCTGGCCTGTGCGTTCACGGACACCCAGGTCACTTCGGTTCTAGGTCCCAAGTGAGCGTCACCAGGCGGTAAACATCACCAGAGCCAGGTGGGGGAGCAGCTGCTGTGAACTCAGGGGGTCAGAGAGCTTGAAGAATGAGGTCCAGTGGGGAAGGAGGGCCAGGGGCTAAGGGCCTTCCAGGAGGCTGGGCTGCCTGCGGACCCTTCAGGGAGAGGGCCGCGTGGGGGAGTCTGGGAGGTGGAGCTGCCAGGAGGGGCGGGGCTGGAGGGCACAGGCCCAGATGGCCAGCCCCGGGGAGGGGTTCGCAGAGGGTCCCTGATCCCTTTCCGGTGTGCGCGCGGGTCCCTGGGAGCCGGGGGATGGGACGTCGATGAGATAGGAGGAGGAGGAGGAAGGGGAGGACTACGTGAGAGGAGCGTGTGAAAAGCCGAATATCGTACCTGGAATGTGGAACCCAGCCCGTGCCCATTGATGGTGAAGAAGGTGATGGCCACGCAGCCCCGTGCGTGCGGGAGAGGGCCCTGAGCCCGGGGGCCTCCCGGAGCAGCCAGGGTGCCGTGTGAGCTCTCCTGCCCCCCAAATCCTGCCCCATCGCCTCAGAGCCCCGGACGATGGCTCTGCCGCTCTAGGTCTCAGTTTCCCTGTTTGTAAAACAGGGGATTTAACGTGATTGAGAATCCACAGAGCGATGTCCTTCCACACCCCAGTGGCCCCAAAGGTCGCCTGCAGGGCCTGGGCAGGGCGGGCATCCGGGGCCTCCCTGCGGCTGAATCTGCCGAGCAACGGCCGGCCGGAGGTTCCACCCCTCACCTTGCTCTCTGTGCTTCCCCCGACAGGCTGAGCTCGGGAAGACCCGGGAAAGAAGCTGCAGCCTTCCTGGCATCGACTTTAATTACGGACTCTACACCCGTGGGCTGGATGGAGGGGTCCCCGAAGGTGAGCATGTGGGTGGGGCTTGAGCTCTTGACCTTGGCTGGCCACGAGGCAGCTGGCCCCGCCCCGGGAAAGAGCCCAGGGGCTTGTCCTGCAGCACAGGGCGGAGACCACAGCCTGGCCTGGGCTGAGACAGGGAGGGCCAAGCAGGGCCCTGGTCGAACGTGTCGGGGGAATGGGAGGGAACTCGGCCCGTGTGGAACCCTGTCCCCAGGCCAGAGAGAGCCTGAGCTCCGCGCCGTTTCAGCTGTGAGCCCAGAGAGGGCTCAGGACCAGCCCTCTGGTTACCCACAAGAGGCCAAGGCCAGGTGTGCCCAGCTGCAAGCAGCTGCCCTCTGAAACCTCTGGAGCCCTGACCCCTCCCTGTCCCGGGAGCCAGGCAGGGCTGCCCCACGGCAGGCTCCAGGTTGCCGGGAAGGCACAGGTCCCTCGGCCCCGCCTCCCCCCCATCTTCCTGGTCAGACGGCGGGGGCGGCTGTGCTTCCCAGAACGACCCCACACCGTGACCCGTCTCTCCCTGTCCTCAGCCATCGGACACTGGAACGCGTTCAAGCCGCAGCCCATCCGCTCCCAAGAGCTGGCTCCGAATTACATCGCCATGAATCGCGGGGCGGTGAAAGCCGGCCTGGTAACTGCCCGGGAGAATTTCCTCTACCGTCAGCTCAACTTTGTCCGCGTCAGTGACAAGGACGAGCGGCGCGTCAAGAAGGAGCCGCCCTTCATCCCTCCGAATATGACGTTCGGGGTCCGGGCACGGTATGGTGGCTGACACCGTAGGTCCACCCCTCCCCCTGTAGGCTGGGGAGGGGCGCCCAGCAGTGACTGAATTAGTGACTGACGTGGGAGCAGGGAGGGGCAAGTGATGGGGCCTGGCCAATCAGTGTCCTTCACAAACCTTGGCCACAGTGATTGGTCCAGAGGCCGTCCTGTGGCCCAGGTCCCAAGCCTGGCATGCACGGCGTCCTATAAAAGTAGAGTGTGGCTGCACACCATCAGTCTCAACTCAAACAGCCTTGGCTTATTTTTTTTAAGGGCAGTTTGGTGGCTCACATGCTTGAAAAGCCTAGGGTGGAGCTTCAGGCACAGCTGGATCCAGGCGATCGGGCAGTGTCATCAGCATATGGGTGTCTCCTGGGTCTTGGCCATGCTTCGCAGTTTTGGCTCCATTCTCTGACAGGCTTCTTCTTCCGGTGACAAAAGAGGTGGGATCAGTTCTGTCCTGTTCTCTTCAGGACCCCGGAGGTAAGGGTGTGGGGAGCACAAAAGCCTGGAGATTGAGATGCTTCGGGCCAGCTTCCTGCCATGCCTGTCCCTCAACCAACCACTGCGAGTAGGCTTTGTGGAATACACGGATTGGTCAGCCCTGGGTCCCATGTCTGCCTCTGAGCCAATCGTTGAGGCCAGCAGATTCTGGTGCCCGGATCAGCCAGGCCTGCTCCCTTGCCCCTCCTTGACCTAGAACGTTTATCCTTTAAAGTATAAAATATTAAAGTGTACAGACATTGGCGGTCACCTCTTTAAAACAGGAAAATAGAAGCTCAGAGAGGTGGGGAGACTGTCCCGAGGCCACAGGACGAGCTGTGGCCAGACAGGAGCCAGACCTGCAGTCAGGCTGGCGGACTCCCCGGCCAGTGCTCCCCGCCCTTCCCTCCACGGCCTGCCTCCTCGGGTCAGCGGTGCAGCCCGAACACCCGCTGTGTTCTGGTCCTGGGGCTCCGTTCTTCCACACACAATGGAAAAGCTTCAGTCAGCTGGGTTCAGAAGGGCTATCCATTATCATCAAGCTTTCAATATAGAAGTCTTAAATTGCCATAAACCCGAGCGGCTACCGTTCTGGGGAAAGCACGTGATGAAGTGCCGGCTGTATCTTCCGTGATGGTAAATGGGCTTTGCATATGCAAATTGAATGGATTTTAAAATGGTCTTTAATGACAATTTCCGTAGCAGACGTTAACATTAATTGCACGGAAATGAAAATGCTGCATTAGGTTGCTGTTAGCCGCAAATACCGCGGCCATAAAGCTTTATCTTTATCAGCAGCGGCGGTTGCTGGTGTGACAGGGCAGCTCAGCAAATGGCAAGCCGAAGGGCTTTTATGGAACGGAACTATCCCCCAAAGCGGGCCCCAATCAGCATCAATTTCGCTTTATTTCTCCGTAAATGGAGGTTAAATGGCCGCTGCAGAAGCTTTTACTGAGAGGCCCAACCCGCCCGCACAGCCCCTCCACCTCGCGACACGCACGCGAGGAGCAGTTAAAAAACCATCGCCCCTCCGTAATGGGGCTATTACTTTACGGTTATGGGGCCGAGCCCCATTCCGCCGCGATCACCTTTTACAGGCCGCGGGCGTATTTATTTCTCTGCTTTAAAAGCATGTTTAAAACCAAGTCCGATCCTGCCCAGCGACCCCAGGGGCTGTTGGGGTGATGACCTGGTCCCACGGAGAAAGAGAGAGACCAGTGAGCCCCGCCTACTCGCAACCCCACCTGTGTCAAAAAATGAAAGCGAAGCCCCGCCCTAGACTACGTGCAGGGACAACTCCCCGGAAGCTGGGGGAGCGAACGGGCTCCGAGGTGGTCGGAGCCGTGGCGCGGGATCCATTCTGACCGCGGCCCCGCCCCCTGCCCCCAGCGCCACGCCCTCTCGCCCCCTGTGTGTTTTACAACGGCCGGAGCAGACAGATGGCGCAGGCACCGCGCACCTCAGCCCGCCCTCTGCCCCCCCCATCAGTGCCAGATGGGACGCAAGCCTGTACCGACAATGGATGATCAGTCACCTCCTTCCCAGTTAGCCGGCCCGGCCCCCCCATCCACCCCACGGCTTACAGATCGTCACCCCATCCGCAAGGCACACGGCGGTCCACGCAGCTCTGCGGCCGAGAGGAGGTGGGGGCGAGGCTCCCGTCTGGGAGAGGGGCCCCGTGCGCACAGATGTGTTTGTTTGGACAGGCAGTCATTTAAAAAAAAAAAAATTTAACGAGTTACCACATTTTATAAGTCGGGAGATTTCACGTAAACACTCAGATTTCCCGGTTCTCTTAAGAGGTCTGAGCCGGGCCACCCTGCGTGGGTGCTCCCGCCTGGTGCCCCCTTTGGACAGAATCCACACACGCTTTTGCGTCTCTCCCAGCCACCGGCCCCCAGCCTGACCCTCCTGTCCACCGTCTGCCTGGTCCAGCCCGGCGCCGAGTTTGTGGCCACCGGTAACCACTGGTCGTCGGGATCCCTCAGCTAACTGCCGCCTTTCTGTCCTCCGATCTCGGTGGGGGCTGCCCGACCGGAAGCTGCCGCGATGTGAGCTCCGGTGCCGCAGGCACTTTGACACATAATCGCCGGCCCTAACATCATCCTCTCGGGCAGGTAGCGTTCTGCGTGAGTCACAGGGCAGGACAGAGAGGGTGCAGCACGTGGCAGAACCTGGGTCTGCACCCTGCCCGCCGGCTGCTTTGAGGACCGCACCCCCAGGGCCAGGCGGCAGGGCCAGCCCCTACGCTCTTGGATCTCAGAATTCGAATCAGGGGAGAGTTTTAAATTGCCGCTGCTGGAGGGGAGGGGCGCAACAAGGATCCCAAAGCATGCCGCCACCCAAGGTTCATCAGCAGACGTGTCCAGAGGTCAGAAGTGTCGCTATTAGAGAGGCACTTAATTATTGATGCATTTTAATAAGTGTTTGCAAATGTGCACATTCCCTCAGCACATCTTAATTGTTACTGCTCCTAATTGGTCCAGCCATGTCCATTAGGACGCGTCAGGGATGATGGGGGGCGGGGGAGGGGCAGCAGGACCTGGGCAGCAGCTGGGGCTTCTGGCAGATTCTGGCCACCCAGGGCTCGGCCACCACCCTGCCCTGGAGCCTGATGCCACACGCAAGGCAAGGATGCTACCAGGAGGACCCATCACTCTGTCCACGAGCAAACAGCCCCCTGCGTGTCAGGGCCTGACAGGAGCCGGATGGGAGGTGGTAGACCCTGCTTTGAACTAATAATGGCAACTATGTATTATTGCTCCTTGTACATGTCAGACCTCGGGTGCCTCCTCTCCTTAACTAACTCCGAACCCCGTCGGCGAGAGTGAGCTGGGGACCGGTCATCCCCCCGCCCCCCGACAGAAGAAGAGGCAGAGAGTCACACAGGGGAAGTCCTTTGTCCCTGGCCGCTTTGCATCGGGATGGGGACTGGCCTGGCCTAAACACCTGTGGCCGTGACAGTGGCGCTGATCTGCCTGCCCGACACGCACAAGGAAGGAGGTGACACGGGTACAGTCGCTACCCTCGTTTTCCCAGCTCCAGAGGGGGACTCAGATGGGCTGCCTCGGCACTGTGTAAGGCCACCCCGCGTGGGTTTTTCCGAAAGCTTTCGGCTGAACCTGAACACGTCAAACGAGCCCCATGTGCTTCCCTTTCGGTGTGTGCTTCCCGTCACCTTCACCTTCGGTGGCTTCCACGTCCCAAATAAACTCCTCGATGGGGCGCCCAGCCCCTACCCTGCACTGGACGCTCACCCCAGCGTCCCGGCGCTGGCCACGGTGCCCTTGCGGAAGAGGCCTCGGTGAATATTTGCCGAATGGACAATGACCGCATTGCAATCTGAGTACGAAGTCAGTAGGAACGTGCGGCCTGGGCAGAACACCCGGTTCAGCCACCGATTCGCCCGGTCCAGGCCCCTCCAGTCCTGGGGTGAAAGTGCCCAGACCACAGGAGAAGGACACGCAGGAGGAAGGCAGGAGACGCCGCCCGCCCAGCCGTCAGCCGTGTCCTGCAGCCTGACACTGACAAATGCGAAGGATGGAGGAAATGCTACAGGCTGTTAAAAAATGTTTGCTGCCTGACAGGTTTTTTGAATCTCCCTGCCAAGCTGATTTACTGTACAAATTTACAATGGGCCCATCCATCACTCTGGGTTATTTTGTTTCTCCTGCAGCCGATGGCCAAAATCCCAGCCACCCACCCCAGCGCCTCTGAAATAGGAATAACGAGCCTCTTCCCAGGCAACTGTCCCGGGGATCCGTGGCTGTTTCTGAAAGGGCCGGCCGGACGGACTGGCAGTTAGTTGACTGGCGGCCCGAAGCCCGGCTGAGTGAAACGGGGCTGGCCACAAGGGGGAGCAGGTGGGCCTCGCAAAGACGCCCTGAAAGGCCCCGCCCGCCCCGCAGAGAAGGCCCTGCCCCCCAGCCTGCTCCGCAGCACTGACAGCAACTGCGGTTCAATAAGACAACCGGCTGGACTTGTTTTGTTGCTGTTGCTGTGGTTTGACGTTACAATGATGCAAAAGTGATACGCGTTCAGTATCTTCTTTCCTCGAAACACTGAGCAGGGCGGGGACCACGAGGGCAAACAGGCGGTACTCCGCAGGGCAGCGTTACACCCATTTCCCACTTAAGATATTTTCCACTGACCAGGGCTCCATCCTGAGTCCAGGGGCGTCTGTGGGGAGTCCCGGTGACGGCCGGCCGGCGTGGACGAGCACGGGAGGGGGCCTGGCGTAAGCCTCGCTGCAACCCAGCATCTCCGTTTACCCACGGGGAAACCGAGGCACGGCCGGCTCATATTCCCTTAGCAAGGGGTCACAGGTGACAAGTGGAAGCGTGGGGACTCAGGTCCAGGCGGTTCACACCAGGACCTTTGCACTCAGTGGCTGGAACAGATTCTTACAGGAGGTGGAGGTGTTGGTTGGCACCTCAGACCCACCCATCACTGCCCGGCGGGGGCCTGGGACAGCCCACACTGGGTCCACCGGGGCATCCATCCTCCTCACAGCC